CAAATCTAATTTAATGGTAAGTAATAATTTTGTTTAGATATCATGCCAAAATATCTTAAAACATTAATGACAAATTGATAAAAATCTTTAGGCGTTTCGAATTCTACTCTTTTTGAAAGTATTTTGAAACAGAGGAAATATATGTATACCTGACTGACGCCACAATAAGTGCAAATAATGGCGGCAGGTATGGCCGGAAAAAGAATGGCAAGTTTTGTGCCGAGAATGACTTCTTGAAGATTAGAGAGAAAATCTTTGAGACCTTTGTATGGAACCTTCTGAATCACTCGGAGGTCTGATTTCTTCCTCAAAGAAGAAGAAGACATGTTATGGGCTGTTCTTCCAAGTCTCAGTTCTCTACTCGATCCTTTGGCCGTCATGCTTGCGTTCCCGTTCTCCGCCACTGACCACGGCTCTGTCACGATTCCCGCCATTTCTCTACTGATTCAAGACTTTGTAAATTCTGAGACACAAATGAAGTTTTTTTTGTTTTGGCTGTCTCTTCGAATTTTGTTTTGCTGATTCTTTATGTTTGTTTTGTAAAGGAATGGCGTCATGATTTGTTTAAATACTACTGATTTGTTTTGTTTATTGGGTCCACGAAGGCAACTTCCTCGAAATTTCCGTTTGATATTTTAATTATTTGATGTTTTGGGATGTTATGGTTTAAATATTTGGAAACAAAATCAGAAATGATATAAATATAGATCTTGCATTTGAAAGTTGTAACACATGGCTCTCAAATCTTGATTTTTGGGAAATAACTATTTATAAATTATAGAAAAATATTACAAAGATTAGTTTGGTTATTAGTAATATTTTAATCTACTAGTAGCAAAATGGTTAAAAACGTGGACACGTGGTGGTCTTAATTTTTGTTATCTTTATTAAGCAAGTAATATATGTTCAAGACTAAAATTTGATTTTCACATTCAATGGCGTTTTGAAAAGGAAAAACAATGTAAGGAAAAATATATACAAAGAAATCAAATTCATTAGTATTCTAAAATCATTGATTAAATAATTTTTTTTTTGGGAAAAATGTCGTTAAAATCCCCATCTTATTCAAAACGTTGATTTAAATCCTCAACTCACGACGAAACGAAATAAATATCAAACTTATATTGACTTTCTAAATAAATATCAAACTTATGTTGACTTTCCAAATAAATATCAAACTTCCGTTGACCTAACCATATTAGGTACGACGTTAAGTGAGTTAATAGATCTCGTTAACGGAGTTAATTTGCTGTTAACATAAATGTTAATTGATAACAACATCGTTTTATATAACAACAAAACGATGTCGTTTTGTCATAACGATTGAATTAAATCTCTAAAGTCAATCTTAGATCCCCAAATCGAGCAAAATCTCTAACCCTAAATCTTCATATGATTTGAAACTCAGGATTTTATTGAGCAGTTACGACAAAACAACGTCGTTTTATGTTTAGAAGGAATATTGTCATTTTTAATTAGCAGGTCTGTTAACAGAAAATTAATCCCGTTAACATGGTCTGTTAACTCACTTAACGTCATGCCTAATATGGCCAAGTCAATGAAAGTTTGGTGTTTATTTGGAAAGTCAACATAAGTTTAATATTTATTTGGAAAGTCAACATAAATTTGATATTTATTTCATTTCGTCATGAATTGATGATTTAAATCAACCTTTTGAATAATTTGGAGATTTTAATGATATTTTTCCCTTTTCTTATTGATGTAAATTGCCTTATTTACAAGTTTAAAGATAGCTACAAAAAGTAAAACATAATGTATACAAACAAAGAAAAAAATATATAACTAAAAAAAATATATCTCTCTAGTCTAGTGTCAAAACCACTCTTCAAGTGGAAGTGCATGTGGAGACTAGAAACACTCGAACTCTTTTTGACCCAAGGTTTTAGTAAAAAGGTCAACTAGTTGTAAACACTCAAACTCTTTCTGACCCAAGGTTTTAGTAAAAAGGTCTACTAGTTGTGTGGGTGTCAAGACATTTTAAGTCAATATGGTACTTCAGAGAAGTTGTCTATGATGAGATGTTATCGAAGTATCGAACCATGTTTCATTTTCCAGTCAAGTAGGTTGGTATGATATGAATAAACGAAAATGAGAAACCTAAATAAATAAAATCCTTGAAAACTGGTTATACACAGTAAACCGGAGAACCCAAAGCACCCGGTTATGTATCAAAATGAAATTCACATACGAAAACAAATTAGCGTCACTATAACAAATGCTTTAAGAGTATTCTTTAGAATATCGTAAGGTCCAAATTGTGTCGCCAGTACGAATGCGAAGTTGATGGTTTTGCCATGTGGCTTTTTCGGTTAACGAGGAGGTAATAGCTTCATAAAAGGCAGGAAGTGGCTGGTTGCTTTTGTTCGCTAGTATTTATTATGTTTAACTTTTAGCTCATGTTATTTCATATTCGTCTAAACATTATGATTAAAACCAGGCCATAGAAATAGAGGTAGACGAATAAATTGAGATATCTTAAGTCATTTGAAACCATCAAGAAACTAGAAGAAGAATTTGATGCTTCGAAATAAGCATTAAGGGTTCAACCAATAAAAACCCATTAAAGTTGTTAAGAATGAATCCAAAATAAAAATAAACCTAAAAACAATGCTGGGTTGTTAAGCACTTTTTGCATATATTTGTAAAATTGTAACCAAAAATTGAAGTCTTGGAGCTGATTTAGAGAAAAAAATGCGAAAAAGCGAGGACATATATGCAGACTGAAAACTTCTCGTCACATGATCTTCCTCAACTTTGTATATATAGATTGCAAAATTATCTTTCTCATTTAAACATTTTGCAAAGTCATCACACATTTCATAATATTTTTCTTTATCGTTCCAAATTTATTGGATCTCCTGCTGCGATATTTAATTAATTAGGACCTTAGATCTAGGTATAGGGATAAATAGAGGGTTATATAAAGTCCATTACGCTCCAAAACATTTTGATGACTTTGTCACCCACCATCCAATCTATACCCTTAAATAAGAGGATTGGAGATTTTGGAAAGATATTATGAATAAATCAAGGAGCGATGAAGTTTAAACTATACTGTGTGGTGGTACCGTAAATAACAATTATTTTTATTTTTGTGTGCAACAACGTAAATAACTCCTTTTAAGATGCTTTCTTATACATGCATAAATTGTACTTTTTCTTTAGTTCTTTCTCCTTACTCAATGGCCTAGAGAAACTTAGATTATAGCGCCACTAGTCCCGGAGAATTTAATTTTGGTTATTAAACTGATAGCATAGGCTCTCTAGTTATGTAGTCCTCGTGCATTGAAAATGATTGAGCCTGAGAATATAAATTAATCTATTGAAATTATGATTTCTAAAACCATACTTAAGTACTCAACCGTACGCATGCTGCCAAAGATTAGAGAATTAGGGAATCCAAGTGGGTAAATAAAGACGCAAACACAGCTGAGAAACTCATTTGTCTTGTCCGAATACAGAACAACATTATTAAAGCCCCACAAATCTTTAGTGAATTTGGAAGTTACACTAACTTCTTGATTTGGTTCAATCTTCTATACGTATGGGCAACAATAAACGAAAGGAGTTTGAGTCACAAATGATGAAAAGGCCAAGAAACTAAAAAATGTCATCAACGATAAAAGCCTTAAAGGAAACTTCCCGGAAGCTGCCTTCTTGAGGATACGTCTATGCACTTCTCACTTGCATGTGGTAGATGTTGTTACCGACCCTTCTTGGTTAGACAATCTATTGATATTTTTTTGTCTTTGTTATATAACATTTCTATACTAATTAATGGAATCAAAGTTCCTACATGCATGTGGTTTCCTTACAGTCTTACTTGTTATGGCATTTAGCCTAACGTGGTCACAAACCATAAAATTATGTTATCATTTAGATTATATCTTCTTAGAAGGTATCATAATCATACCTTCACACAGTAATAAAAATCATAATCATACCTCCACGCAGTAATAAAAAAAGATCATATCTTCTTCCAGAGAATTTTAGAAAATGCTTAGCCATTTATAATTGTTTATCACTCCTGCATCAATCTTTGAACATATCGATCGATAGAAGCATCCGAGATACTCTTTTCACTAGCAGATATCCTAAGAGCAAGAGATGTGGTTGATTGCGTCTTAGTGACGCATCCATATATATCTAGCTCATCTCATAGATGATATGTTTGATTTCTGTCTGGCTTTATTCTTTATTCTTTTTTTTCATTTGCCAAGGAAGTTTCTTGTAAAGTATTTGCAATTAAGTCGATACCGTTTTGGTAATATAAGTTACATACATTTTATCCACACAAAAAAAAGTTATAATGTTCCAAAGATAAATTGGTAAAGGTAGTAGCACAAAACAACGAAAACAATGCATTAACTAATTTACATATAAAATAGTTCAATCTCTTCAAGTTGACAAGTTTGATATAAGATATCACATAAGTTCTCCAATCCCTTGTTCTTGAAAAGTTTGCTTAGGCTGCAGTGAAGCTTCACCAAGTTAGTAAACCTTGAGACAGCTGACAATAAGGGAAACGCGAAAAATAAAGCTACAAAATTCAAGCCTTGATGAAAACTGCGTTCTACTTGCAGCATCCTAAATTCCGCGAAAGAAAGGATTCTTAATTAAGCTTGATGATTAATGATGCTCATATGAAACAAACAAGCTTAAGCTCGATTGTTCGTAGCATTCCTCATATGAAAAAAACATGTGAACAATATTATCTAAGCATGCACATCACCCGTTTTTTGGAAACTTAGTGATGACCACTCCGATGTGAGAACCACTCAAACCTAAAAAGTAACAACTTTACAAGTTACAAAAAGCAGAGAGTATTGGAGTTGGAATCAAAATTGTTTTATCAGTAATTCACATTTTGGAGTTGGATTCAAATTTTTATCTATTTATTTATTTTGGAAACAAAAAAAAAAAAAAAAAAAAAAAACTGTTGACTAGGAGAGAATTCAAAAAGGAATTGATTCTTGGATTATTTTAAGGAATCGTGGTCTCTGAGTGAAATTGTTTGCTTCTTTTTCAGTAGTGCGATCTGACGACTGTCACAAAGGCATATAAACCCTTTATGCATGGGCTAATCAAATTAATTAATTAATCGCTTCTCTTATCTTTTATCATCTCAAAGTTGGTAGAAGCAAAGCAAAAATCTCCTGGCGAGAGAGAGAGAAAGATCGATCATGGTTGGACCAGAAAGACCTCAAATCGTTCTTTTCGGTTCTTCAATTGTTCAATATAGCTTCACTGATCGTGGTTGGGGTGCCACTCTCGCTGACCTCTACTCTCGCACGGTTTGTCACAATTCCTCCTCTCTTCTTCCAATTCCAATTTCGACTCCTTAGGATCTTCTGATTTTGACTGATTTGTTTAGTGAATAATCTACAATAAACCCACTAAAATCTGTAATGCAATTTGTACTTTACTGTTCGCAAATGGACAACTGTTTCACTGTCAACAACCTAATGATTTGAGAATAAGTTTGGTTCCTTCTTTTTACTCTGATCTGTTACTGTAACACATGAATATTACTTTTGATGCATATTCACAGGCTGACATCATCCTTCGTGGCTATGCTGGTTGGAATTCTAGGTTTGCCTTGAAGGTTCTTCACCAAGTCTTCCCAAAGGTACACTCTTTTTTGAATCATGAAATTTGATTTCTATCAACTATAGTGAAACTATACACTCTTATATATGATTCTTGATTTAGATATCTCCCACGGTTTTGCAGTAAAAGGAAATAGCTTTTTATTTTTACCTCTGTATATGTTTTGTTAGGATGCTGTGATACAACCTTCTCTGGTGATAGTCTATTTTGGTGGGAATGATTCAACGCATCCTCATCCATCAGGTCATGGACCTCATGTTCCTCTATCTGAATTCATCGAAAACATGAGGAAGATTGGAGAACATCTTTTGGTAATAATGCCTTTTTTTAAAGTTTGTGCTGTTTTTTTCTTCTTCTTTCTTCAGTATTTGCTAAGCTCATGGTATCTTCTTATTTCACCTTTCTTACCAGAGCCTTTCCGATAAGACTCGTGTCATTTTCCTCACTCCGCCGCCTATGAATGAGAAACAGATCGAAGTCGTTTTTGGGTACATGTTATACAGAACCAGTTAAATGTTCTTCTTGGTATTGTTTTTAGAAGTTTGATCATTAGCCTTGTGTGTAACTCTTGTCTCAGAGATGTAATAAGAGGCCGGAGTAATGAGCTGTGCCGTCCATATGCAGAAGAGTTGTTAAATCTATGCAGAGAGATTAATGTGAAAGGTATCGATATTTGGACCGCAATACAGCAGCAAGATGATTGGTTGAACAGCTGCTTCACGTGAGCTACTAAACCTTCATGATACATGTATACTAAAATGATTCTCGATTAAACTAATTCCTTGAGTTGTTTTACTTCATAGAGATGGGATCCATTTCACAGCAAAGGCAAGCGAGATTGTTATTAAGGAGATATTGAAGGTAGTGCGAGAAGCGGATTGGAAACCGAGTCTTTACTGGAAGTCGTTACCGGTTGAGTTTCCATTTGATTTTGATGTTCCAAACTCCATAAGCCTTAATGACCTAGAGTTAACTAGGAACAACCAGTTTGAGCAACCACACCCTGGAAGCCTCTGTGACCAAGAGTTAACCAGAAACGAGCAGCAGCTGGAGCCACAACACCCTCTAAGCCTTTCTGACCATGAGTTAACCAGAAACGAGCAGCTGGAGCCACCACCGCCTACTGCCCGATTGTAAAACAACTCAGATTATGCTTCTACATTGACATCTTGATGGTGTAACCAGTTTCACCCTTTATTTGCATCTGGATATTCACATTGCTAATTTAACATTTTATAAGAATGTTTGTTTTGTATCAATAGTTTCGCAGGGTCTTCGGATTAGAACACTTTGTTCTCACTATTGTGCTTCAGATATACAAAACAAAATGCATTCCTATATAGAAATTCTGTTTTCGTTCTGTCAAGGTGGTCACTCGGCCATGTTTTAAAACCTTAAGACAATCATGTAACTTCACAAATATGTGTGTTATAGTACTTTAGATGTTGAATTTGACAGACAGATCTATAACTGAAAAGAACATATGAGAAAATTCTCAACTAAGTCGTTCGTTATCAAGAAACAAGTATGCATTGGCATGAGATGATGTACTGGTCTAGGCCCAAAACCTTTTAGTTATTTATATTAAAAAAATGTAAAAAAAAACAGTTTAGATACCATTAGAGGATAGAGTTTTATATGTTTTTGAATAATTTTTCACTACGTATATATTGTAATCATAAATTATAATTAGACTAATCAATATTTTTAGATTCAGAAAACGGGAAAAAACACTTCGAGATCTAAAGCACACTTCACATTTTAGAAATACTAATCCTAACATTAAACTTTGTATTTTCGCATTTTCACTGTATATATATCTATTATTCTGTTAACTCCATGTCTCTTTGCATTTTTATGTGATAGGGCAAAATTTGTTATATCCTCTAAGGCACCAGTTATGTTTTTTTTATCTTGATTAACTATGGTAATGACTAGATCTTACATCATGACCATGGGAGGTGATCGTTTCATTTTTCGAACCAATGTATGTCCTCAAACACCAAAAGGATCAAGAGTCCTATAGGAAGGGTAATAAAGATTTCAACTCTAGTTTCTATGGAGTCTAACCACATGCCTAGTCGTAAACGAATGTGTTATAACTTTAATACTTTATAATCATTTAGGTGTCACATTTCACATAAAGATCTATCTCAAAAATTTATAAGTTAGGGTGATTGCTATCATGGAAACAACAAGTCAAGTCGTGGATTATGAGGATTGATGAGAAAGAAAAGGTTGTGGATATTTAAAGAAGTTTACATCTACTATAACTTCACAAGAATTAGACAGTTGTTAGTTACTTGTTACCTATTACAGGTTTATGTAACAATTTATAATCATGCTTATAGGTTTTTGTTACCGTTTTATAAAAATAAAAATAAAAACATGTTTGTTATTTATTATGATGATAATCATAACTAGATTAATTAATTTCGTAGATTTAACAAATGAAAAAAATTACACTAAACCTGGCTCGAGGTCCTATTGATTACGACTTCGATATATTAAGACACAAAGATTAACACAGATAAAATCCATACAATAGAGTTAATACATAAACCCACAAATATTTTCTTAAACAAAAAATTTATAAATCTAAAAATATCTATATATGTAAAAAAAAATATGTCCTAAAATTTATATATGTAATACTATACAACTAATTAAACTGTGAAGAGTTAAACTTAACAGTAACACTACAGATATATTTAACTTTGCCAAAAGGATACAATAGGTATTTTCTATGAAAGAAACTTCTAAAATTTATAACACGACATAATAATTTTCAAGAACTAAAAAGTAAAAACACATAACTCTAAAAACGACACGACAAATCACATGAAGATATTTGTCTTTAAAAAAATTAATTTTATAGAAATACCCTCAACTTTCGTTTATCTTCTACCGTTCAACGCCGGTGCGAGGAAAAGACGAAGACTCGCCGGTAAACTACTTTCAAACAGTAACCGTTACATTAATCAACTTGCCCTATCTTCCCATGGATTCTCTTCGTCACAGATTCTCAGGTTTTTTTTTACCCTTCAAATTTCTAGGGTTTCTTCAATTCAATTCTCACCCTTTTCATTGACTCATTACAATTTTTTTTTCTCTTACTCTAGAATCACCGAAATGGACTCAGCTCCTTCTCCATCATCGCCGGACCTTGAATCATCTCCTCCGGTATTGGTCACAATGAATTCAACCTCATCTTCTTCTGATAATAACGTCGAAGGAGATGATGATGATGCTGCTAATCATGAGATTTTCAATTGGAGAGAATTTTCCTCTTGTTGGAGAGTTTCAGAGTCGAACTTGTACTGCTTTAGTTTGGCTCTTCTTGTCTGGTTCTTTGGTTTGTTTCTCAACTTATAGATTCGTTTTTGATTTGGTCTGCTTTTGAAAGTTTTTGTCTTTTCTTTTTTTGACTATATGAATCTGACTGACTAATTCTCGATTGACTCAGCTTCGTTTATTCTGATTGAGAATCTTTACGGACCAAAAAATGTCTGGCTTGGACCCAATTCTTCCATTCTTGTTGAACCAAGCTCCATTTTTGTCAAAAGCATTAAGGTTGTCTGTTGTCTTGTGTCACTCTCTTATTGTGTTTATGTTTCTAAGGCTGTGCTAATTTATTGAAAATGTCTTTGTTTCTTGTTAGGTTAAAGTGTTAGATTATTCTAAACCAGGGCTTCAGTTATATGGGTTCTATAGATCTCCTGCTCTGGATTGTTTCGTCAATTGGTCGGAATCCCGAGTGTTACCTGTCTCAAAGGATTCTTACAAGGCAGGTTAAAGATTCTCAGTACTGTTTTCTTTAAAATGTATATATGGCTGCTTTTTGAACTTCATGAGGACCTTTATTGTATAGACTGGAAGTGTTGTTGTCTTTTGTGTACTTCCCATTGAAAATTTGATATCAAAAGATTTAATCTTTACCTATTTTTAGTCAGAAATTATTCTAGTTTTGATTGTCATTGAATTCTCTTTTAGACTATTTATTGAACTGATTTTATTTCTCTCAGGTATGGCCATATTATCTCAACAGACGGACTTTGTTGAATATTACATATACCGTTAAACCACAAGGTTCTGCGGTTCAGCTTGTGGTCGACGAAGGTTAGTACGTTTCGTAGTGTTGTCATTTTCTGTGTCTGCCTGTTGGTTTGATGTTGTCAGTGAGGCTGTGATAGAGTTAAAATCATGAACACAAAGAAAAACCTAAAAGCTCGACAAAAACCAAGAACTTACCTAAACCCATTTCTCGCGTTGTTTTGTGGCAATCGGGACTTCTTTCGTAATTAGTATCTACGAAAACGTAAAGCAAAATCCAACTAGAAATGGAAAATAACTTTGGATAAAAGAGGATATAGAGATGATAGAAGTCTTAATGTAAGCAAGTTTTTTTGTTTAAAAGTGTTGCCATGTAGGGATATAAACTGATTATGTCAATGCTCTCAAATCACAGGGCATCAAGGCGACCCTCAGTCGTTTTTGAACGACCCTGCATATCGTTACAAAGTTTGGTCATGGAATCTAATTGAGGGTTAGTCAAATGGAAGTTCCAACTTAAAATGCATTGTGTTATAGTGATTAGTGATTACCATGAGTTAATAAAAGTTCTTTACAGGGAATGGTATGATTGAGTTGGAGATAAGAAAGTCTTCAAGTTATTATCTTGCTGTAGCTAACTTGAAGAGGAAGGACGTAGAGGTAATAATTACTGATCAAGTAATGACTTTGGATGACGTTTTGGTTTCTGCACTTGTTCATTGTGTTTACTTGACATGATGTTTGTTCAGGTGGAACTGAATATTGATGTGAGGGCTGTCTTGTATGATACTAAACAATCATTCTACAACTGTAACTTCAGCAATGGCGAGTGCGCATTCAATGTTATGCCCCTTGTTGGAAATTCTGTTGTCGTAACTTCAACAGCAGCGAGTCAGGTATGTATTTGTAAAACGAAACACCAGCAGAATTATTATTATTATGACTCTTAGCTGAATGAATGTTCGTCTCACTGCCTCCGGACTTAGGGAGTATCCATTGAAGATGAATGGTATATCAGGTTCTCATATCAACCTAGAGAGATTGCATATGTAATCGGCACAGGTAAACATTTCAATCTTTTCAAAGTCAAATTCATAATTGGATTGAGCATTGGTTAGTTTCTTATAACATGTAGTAATATTGCATATGCAGGTGTGGTGATTTGCTTCATGTTGGTAGCTATACAATTTTGCAACAGGTTACAATGCTATGGTGGAGAGGGATATCTAACCGAGAATGATTCAGCGAGAACACGTCTACTTGAAAACAAAGATGACGATGGTTCAAGCATGGGTTCGTGTAATGATTCTTTCGCTAACGATGATGCTGATTTAGAAGAGTTTATGGAAAATGATGGTGAAGCAAGTAATCGAAGTAGACGTCTCTGTGCCATTTGTTTTGATGCTCCAAGAGATTGCTTTTTCCTCCCATGTGGCCATAGCGTCTCCTGTTATGAATGCGGAACAACGTAAGTTTTTTGTCAACGAATATGTCTTTAAAACTTGATAATACACAACTAAACATATCAAAACTACTTGATTGCAACATCGGTGTTTACTAGTAGTGGGAGTTGAATTTGAAACATATGCAGGATGCAAGAAGATGATGGGAGTTGTCCAATATGTCGAAGGAAGATGAAGAAAGTGAAGCGAATCTTTACAGTGTAAGATGAATCAAATATAAATCGCTAACATAATGTTGAATCTATAGAGCATTAATAAAAATTATATTGATAGTGACAAGGCTCATTTCTTTCTTTGCATAATTATTTCGTGTAGTCACTTGATTCATCTTTGTGATAACACCTACGGTAGGCAATGTATAGTGAATCATTGTTTGTTGACTCACATTCTGAAATGGGATCGCAACCGTGAACTGATGCGCGGGATGAGGAGAAATGAGTTGGTATCTCTTGGTGACTTGGTACAAATCTAGCTCCCCTCCAACACACACAACCATCTCCAATGGATACATTTCTGTCTCTTTCTCTTGATATCTTTCTTGGTGATCCAACTTTTTACTTTTGTTCTTTATTGATTTCTCCCATGATTGTTATCTTCTTCAGAATCCAGAAATGAAAATGCGTATCTTTGCTATATTTTGGTTATGAAGGAATTAATATGTGAGTACATTCAAGCATGTATGATTACATTATTATTAATAGATAATAGATTACCTTAGTAATGAGATTGAAGTATTATTACGATTGTTAATATAATAATAATAATAAATACAAATCTATCTATCAAACCCATATTAATAAAATCTTTCACATAAATATATTGGAATTGCTAAGTTAAATCAATATATTTTATCTTAGCATACTAATAATGAGTTAAACAGTTAGACTTAACACTAACAGTGAGTTAAACTTAACAGTTAATTAACTTTGAACAAAGGACAAATTGGAAATTTCACGAAAGAATCTCTTAAAATTATATTAAAAAAAACAAAAAAGATAACTCTGAAAAATAATGTTTAAATAAAGTTATAAAAATACCCTCAGACTCTCGTCGACGTTACCGTTCCAAAGACGGAGAGAAAAGACGAAGACTTGCCGGAGAACAAATATTCAAACGATAACCGTTACATTAATAAAATTGCCCTATCATCTTATCTTCCATGGATTCACTTCGTCACAGATTCTCAGGTTTTTTTTTATTATTTTTTTTAATTATCCTATAAATCTCTAGGGTTTCTTCAATTCATTTCTCACCTCATAATTTTTTTGTCCTCTCTTTTCACTAAGAATCACCGAAATGGGGTCAATTCGTGGTGAGTTTCCGCCGCACTATGCCAGACCACCACCTCACTCCGAAGAAGATTTCGATGACATCATCGATTGTGGCGAAACTTCGTGGGGGCTGTTTAGCGTGTCTTGCTTTATTGGCGTTATGTGTTTATGGTTCATTGGTTGGTTTGCTCAACTTGAGTCTGATTTTTTAAGTTTTTGTCTTCTTTTTTTTGATTATATGAGAATCTGACTAATTCCTCTATTGCCTCAGCGTCGGTTTTTCTGATGTTCGGTTTTTACGGTGCTGCAAATGTCTGGCTTGGACCTCACTCGTCCGTTCTTGTTGAACCAAGCTCCATTTTTGTCAAAAGCATTAAGGTTTTTTTTTTTTTTTTTTTTCTCACTCTCTTCGTGTGTTTCTGTGTATCAAGGCTGTGCTAATTTATATTATTTTTGTTAGGTGAAGGAGCTTGACTTTACAAAGCCTGGTCTTCAACTTTATGGATTCGATGATGAATCTACTCCTAGTACTTATTTTGTGAACTGGACTGAATCTCGAGTGTTATCTGTCTCACAGAATTCTTACAAGGCAGGTTTAAATCTCTCAGTACTGTGTCTAACTTCCTTGAGATCTTTTATTGTATTGATTGCAAGTTTTTTTTTGGGTATTTGCCATTGAAATCAAAGATTTGATCTTTGCCCTATAGATTTTGTTAGAATTTATTCTAGCTTTGATTATATATCAATGAATTCTCTTTATTGAACTGATTTTGCTTCTCTCAGGGATGGCCATACTACTTAAATAAAGGAACGCATATGAATATATCTTATAATGTTTTACCTAAAGGTTCTGCAGCTCGGCTTTTGATGTCTGAAGGTTAGTAAAATATTGTAGTTTGTCATATGCTTATTGCTATGCTGTGCTTGCCTGTTTGTTTGACATTGTTAGTGAGGCTGTGATAGAGTTTAAAAAACATGAACATAAAGAAAAAACCTTTTAAAGATCTTCTTTGTTGATGGGAACACGTAACCGATAAACCCGCGGGAAAACCGAATATTTACCTAAACCCATTTCCCGCGTTGTTTTCTTACAATCGAGACTTCATTTGTATATAGTATTTACCTGAAAAGGAAAATATATTTGAATAAAATAAGAGGAAATAGGGGAGATAGAAGTAATGTGAGTGTGTGTTTTGTTTTGTTTGAATGTGTTGGTTTTAGGGATATAAACTTATTATGTCAAGGCTCTCAATTTATAGGAATGCCAGGCATGTTTCGGTCGTCGTCGCTGGAGGATCTTGCATTTTGTGACAGAGCTTGGTCATGGAATCTAATTCAGGGTTAGTCAAACGGAAGTTCCTACCTAAAATGCATTGATTACATTGATTATCATGACTTAATAAAAGTTCTTTACAGGGAGTGGTATGATTGAATTGGAGATAAATAAGTCTAAAGGTTATTATCTTACTGTGGCTAACTCAAAGAGGAAGGACGTAGAGGTAATAATTACTGAATCAAGTAATAACTTTGGATTAAGTATTGGTTTCTGTTGTGTTTCTGCACAGTCCAGAGTACAATGTTTTACTTGTCATGATGTTTGTTCAGGTGGAACTGGATATTGATGTGAGAGCTGTCTTGTATGATACTAATCAATCATCCTACAACTGTACCTTCAGCAATGGCGAGTGCGCATTCAAAACCAATGAAGTGTCCCCTGTTGAAAATTATGCTGTCGTAACTTCACCAGCACTGGGTCAGGTATGTACTCGAAATATGAAACACTAGCAAATTGTTACTGTTATTATTATTATGACCTTTAGCTGAATGAATGTTCATCTCACGGCCTCTGGCTTAGGGAGTAACCATCGAGGATGAATGGTATATCGAGTTGTCATATCAACCTAGATGGATTGCATATGTAAGCTTCACAGGTAAAAAATTTTTGCAAGATTTTCAAAGTCAAATTAAAAATTGGATTTTAGCATTGGTTAGTTTCTCTATAACAAAAAGAACTGGAAGCAATTACATGTACTATTATTGCATATGCAGGTATTTTGTTTAGCTTCATGCTGGTAGCTATACATTTCTGCAACAAGTTACAGTGCAGTGGTGGAGAGGGACTTCTAACCGAAAATGATTCAGCGAGAACACATCTACTTGCAGACAAAGATGATGATGATTCGTGTAATGATGGCGAAGCAAGTAACAGAAGTAGATGTGTCTGTGCCATTTGTTTTGATGCTCCAAGAGATTGTTTTATCTTCCCGTGTGGCCATTGCGTCTCCTGTTATCAGTGCGGAACAAAGTAAGTTTTTATCTACTAATGTACAACTTCTTGATTGCAACATTGTAATGCTAATGTGTTTATCATATTGGGATTGGTCTAAAATATCAAACGTTGTGAATTGACAATATGTGCAGGATAAAAAGAGCCAAGGGGAGGTGTCCAATATGTCGAAAGAAAATGATGCTAGTGAAGCGAATCTATACAGTGTAAGATGTATCTTTAACTGTCCAATGTAATGGTGAAGCAATGGAACATTAATAAAAATCATATAATTTGATATTGACAAGACTCAGTTCTTTCTCTGCATTCATTCGTTTCAATCTCTTGAGCATCTTTGTGATATCACCATTTGTTAACTACCATAGGGTAGGGAATATAGTGAATCGCTGTTTGTTGACTCACATCGCGAAATGGGATTGAAACCCCGAACCGGTAAGTCAGGACTTGGGACCATAGCTTTGTAGTCGAGTATTGATGTGGGATAGGGAGAAATGAGATGGTGACTTGGGGAACATATACGCGGTGGTGTGTGATTGAACCGCACAAATCTATCTTCCCTCTAACACAGACACAGTCCCTTTCCAATGCACAACTTTCTTTTAATTCTTCTTCTTCCTATCTTACCTTTAGATCTTCTACACCCAGAAATGAAAATGCATATGTATATTGCACATTATATGTTGTCGAACAAAGTACTACTATTGTATCCTCTTAGGATTTACAAGTCTATAAGTTTTAAAGATGAAAGAGAACAAAAACTGATAAAGAGGTCTTGGGTTCGAAGTACACTTGAGAGTTGAGACTTGAGAGTAAGAGCATGCCCATTAGTTAAGATACCCATGAAAGATGCTCTAACGTTATTTCCAAAAAAATTGTTTACAAGCTGACTCTAGATCGCGGGAAATCAGAAGATTCTGATCCGTTGTATAAAATTATATGGATGATATGTTACGATTCAGATTAGGACACGATTATTGATTTTATGTTATAATTTTGTTTATTTTTTCAAGATTTTTAAATTCTAATTATAGTATTTCTTAAAGTTTTTAGAAAGATTATTACGACAAATTTTCATGTTTTATATATTATGTATGAGTGTTTTGTTATCTCTATTTTTAGTTAAATACCTCTCTAAAGAGTTTTCTTAAATTAAATTTTTAATTTTTGAATAACTTCGGATTTAATATATGAATTATTGACTGAATAATTAAGGATTGCAAGTTATTTGATTAAATTTCATATTTTTTCCAAAATCTCCACACATTTTTTACCAAAAAAAACAACAACACACTTGCACACATAACATATCCGAATCAGTGGTTCTTCGACATACACGATGATATAGGGAACTGAGCTTCCACGTCAACAAGATAATAATCTCTCCAGTGTTCATGGTCTTACACCAAAAGAAACAAATCTTGTGGTCAAAGTTTCCAAACGTAGCTTCTCCTCTCTACACTCCCCTGCACAACAATCAACGTACCCTTTCATTAACAACCGTACGATGAACTTACTTTGACTATCTTTTCTCAATCCAACAGCTCACAATCCACAAACAAATTTCAAATCGCGCCTCACTCTCTCCATATATAATCCCGTCTCTCCTCTGCTCCACACTCTCTCAAAACCCTAGAAAAAAATGGCAGCAACCGGAGTTGTGGCGGTGTACGGCGAAGGAGCCATGACGGAGACGAAGCAGAAATCTCCCTTCTCCGTCAAGGTTGGTCTCGCTCAGATGCTTCGTGGCGGTGTTATCATGGACGTCGTCAACGCAGAGCAAGCTCGAATCGCTGAAGAAGCCGGCGCTTGCGCCGTGATGGCTCTTGAACGTGTACCTGCCGATATTCGAGCTCAAGGGGGTGTTGCTCGAATGAGCGATCCTGAGATGATTAAAGAAATCAAAAACGCCGTGACGATCCCGGTGATGGCGAAGGCACGAATTGGTCATTTCGTTGAAGCTCAGATCTTGGAAGCAATCGGAGTTGATTACGTCGACGAGAGTGAAGTTCTCACTCTCGCCGACGAAGATAATCACATCAACAAACATAATTTCAAAATCCCTTTTGTTTGTGGATGTAGGAACCTCGGTGAAGCTTTAAGGCGGATCCGTGAAGGAGCCGCCATGATAAGAACTAAAGGAGAGGCTGGAACTGGAAACGTTGTTGAAGCCGTTAGGCACGTGAGGAGTGTGAACGGAGCTATTCGGTTACTTAGAAACATGGACGATGACGAAGTTTTCACTTTCGCGAAAAAGATCGCTGCGCCGTATGATTTGGTTGTGCAGACGAAGGAGCTTGGGAGGTTACCGGTGGTTCAATTCGCTGCCGGGGGAGTTGCGACTCCCGCGGACGCGGCTTTGATGATGCAGTTGGGATGTGATGGAGTGTTTGTTGGGTCGGGTGTTTTCAAGAGTGGAGATCCGGTGAAAAGGGCTAAGGCGATTGTGCAGGCGGTTACGAATTATAGAGACGCGGCGGTGTTGGCGGAGGTGAGCTGTGGTTTAGGTGAAGCCATGGTTGGTCTTAATTTGGATGATAAGGTTGAGAGGTTCGCTAGCCGTTCTGAGTAACCAATCAAATTTCAGCTGTTTTTATCCTTACTTTAAAATGTATCCACAAAACCAATATTCTCGATTTATTCAAAATTTTATAGAAAAAAAAATTGGAAATGAGGATTTTGTTGGCTAGTGAGTGCCAACCATAATTTCATGGGACTAATGGTAAATTCTACAACTAAGTTTTTGTGAAATTAACATTATCAAACCTCAGGAGAGAGCAGCAATATATATTTTTTTCAGTAACACAAGAGGCTAAAAAAAAAAGTTAACATGAGAATCTGAATTGATACCAATTTTATAAGTTTTTCTTTCATATAGTGTAAAGATACGGTTTACATATTATTTAGTAACGACTATATCAAGGACATAGGAATAAGAGATTATACTTGGAATGTGTATCAATTATCATCTACTTAATAACAGTGAATCAACCTGGTTTTTTCCACAAGGACCCTTTTGCCGTATCAGAGAACGGTACTCGTCGAACCTGATCGGTTTATAAAGAGCAGGTCGGTTTTCTGTTACTAGTTCTTCGATTGGTCCAATCGGGATATCACTTCTCGGGTTATAGAAGAATGCCAAAGAGACTCGTTCCATACCGGAATTAACGATCACTTGATGCTCCACACTTTTGTAAATTCCATTGCTAAGTATCTACATATCGATATATCCAACATTATTATTGGTTAGTATTTGTAGAGTCCATTTCAAGAAAGTAGATCAATTATCACACAATATTAAGTTTAAGAAAGTAAGATATTATACCTGAATCTGATCCCCAATGTTAACGATCAAAGCATTGGGGACTGATTTAACGGTGATCCAGCCATCACAACGACGGACCTGGAGGCCAGCGACCTTCTCGTCCGGGAGAAGAATGGTGATGCCACCAGGGTCAGAATGGGAAGATAGACCTAGAGTGAGATGTGGCTGAGGGCATTTTGGGTAGTAGTTTGTCCTGAGAGAAGCTCCGACTTTGTCTTCTCCTCCTAAAGCCTTCATGAGATGGTTTGGTTCTAAACCTAAACTCTCTGACAATGTCTCCGTCAGCCTCTCGCACAGTTTTTTCACTTCTTCTCCGTACTCTTCAATCAATTCTCTGCACATAAATTAGTTTTTTCCTCGATATATGTTAATTACAAATTATCTTTATCTCTATGAGAGAAATATAGAACAGAAAATCTATAATTGGTTAATAGATTTATTTTCTCGATATTAATTCAATCGATGCCTATATAAAACTTTATTGTGAGATCCGTTAACTGAATTTTTTTTTGAAGTAAGCCATCAGTAAATCTCAAGACCTAAGTTATAAATAACACAAGATTTCCATTTTATTTAATTTGGTCGATCGGTCAAACATGTGTATATACACATTTATTTATGTATTATAAAAGAAAAGTCATGTTTCACGTGGGTATAATGACCATATGTAACGTGTTCACACATAAGACACGTGCCTTAAATAAACATTTAGACCAAACGGCCATGTGTGTACGTTTATGCAATCTGAGTACTTCCACATAATTCAGATGCTTGAACTCCTAAAAATAAAAAACACACACAAGTAACGTGTCCCCATATATGCAAAACATTCACTTAGTAAGAAATCTCCTTTTAGTAAACGGTTTCGTAAACATCTACAATTTCTACACTCAGGAATATAAATATATAGACCTAAACCACATATGTATAGACAAATAAATTACAAGAATTTATATGCATGGGTACCTGATCTTAGGAGGCTGAGATGGCCACTTGGAGGGGCTTCTTATGGAAGAAGGCAAGTAATTGAGGAAGAAATAATCACTCCAATCTAATTTAGCATCTTTCACAACCCCAAGGCGGCTTCCATATCCCTCGTACGTGTCCGGTGAGTTTGCATACTTCCGTTTCTCGTCTAGCGGTAGCTCGAAGAACTCTCGCCACGCTCCTCTCACGCTCTCCATCAGCGAGTGGTTCACACCATGGTTCACCATTTGGAAAAAACCCCACTCCTCACACGCGCTCCTCACGAGCCTTAACCCCTCTGGTTTCCCCCAAACGTCGTCCATGTCTAGAACGGGGATTTCCATCTCAGCATCGGATTGGGTGGTGTTAAAGACCGGTCTCTGATGAGCCGGTTTTACATAGCGGTTTGGTACAGTTGGTACACCGGTTTGGGACAAGGATTGCACGGAAACAATTGGCTCAGGCCAGCATGTAGCCATTTTGTGAATTGTTTTGGAAGTTAGAAAAAAAGGATATGAAGATACTCAAGGAGAGAAATGTAGTGGAAGAATGAATGTTGTAGATGGTGGAAGAAACAAGGACGAGTGGGGATATAAATAGGGAAAATTGTAAAACCAAAATGAAACGTGAAACAATTAATGATACGATGATATTCTTTTATTCCAGACTTTTTTTTCTATTGAATATTGAGGTCGACAAAATAAAACCTTGCATGCTAAGCTAGTTGGATGATAAACATAATAAGACACGTTTTAAAAGAGTTGTGGATAAATGTCGACAATATTGCTTTTTTGTGTCTTCAGTGACTTTTGAAGTGAAGGAGATAGGGAACGAATTTCGGCGCCGTGCGACGGTTTGCAACATGTACAAAAGTAATAAACAATGTGTTTATGTAAATTAAATGATTATGCTTTAGTACTTTTGCATCTTATAGAATAAGAGTTTAATGACTTTTGCACGATTGACAGACTTTAAAATACCAAATCAACAACAGATTATCGGTGGAGGTCATGCCAACATTTGGAACGAAAACAGCCAAACCCATAGTGTATTTTTTCCATGTTCATTGTATTTCTATAGACTAAAGTAGAGATCATCATGTAAGTGGTGCACAATTTAAATTATTGTTTTGATTTGTAATCCACAAAAGCCAAAAAACAAACAAATACCAAAATTGTTTTGAAAAATGGTTTCAGTATAATGGTTGAACCATCTTCTGATTGGTGCAACATTGTTGAATGATTTTGGATGAATGAAATTCCCAAAAAAATAATTATAAAATACTCAAAAACTTATTTAAATGATATTTTTTTCAATTATATTTCTAACATGTCTATGATATATATATAACAAAACGTTTAAGACAAATGTTTAAACATGAGAATAGAATCACGTTTTCAAAACGTGACAACTAAAGATATACCGTTTATCAATCTAACTCTGTTAAATTTTCTATTTCTTATTCTACAAATGTTATTTTGACGCTATAAATGGTATTTCTAACATGTCTATGATATATTCATCGTATATATCTATTTTCTTTTATCTTCTAGATCGAGATATGTCAAAAATAAATACTAGATTCGTGATGTTGACAAAGAAATTGTCCGCCTAATATGTTGAATACTGTGAACGTAAATGATGTGATAATTAAATAAATGAATCAATTACCAAATAAGGATTTTTAGTGGCATTCATAGATTTGTCACTTTGCCTAAAGTATATTAGATTTGCCAATTTTTTAATATCTAAAAATACCCTTTAACACATTTGGGTTTATTTGGTTCTACCCTTTTTACAGTAAAACCTCTATAAATTAATAATGTTGTGACCATGATAATTTATTAATTTATAGTGATATTAATTTATCTATAAATTAATACTTATTAGTTTATCTATAAATACTTATTAATTTATAGAGTAAATGAATATTTATTAATTTATAGAAATTTTGTTTCAATTGTGAAAACTTTTTGAAAAAAATATGAGCCAAAGCAATATAATCTAAATAACATTAATGTTTTGGATGTTATAATTTTATAGTTTTAAACTTAAACACTTAATATTTCGAAGAGAAAATAATCTCTTTTGACAATGAATAACAACGATTATAGAATTCACATATACAAACGATATACATAAATTAAAATTCAAAAAACAGTGACATCCATTGTTGTATTTTAAAAACCTATACGACTATTAAAACAAACATTACGCATATTCAAAATTTGAAAACTTACAAAAACTTTTGGCTATTTTATGAAAACACTAACACTACATAGGGATTTCAAAAAACTTATTATCTTATTACCTTATCGAATTTGGTTAATTTTTACACCGGTTCGAATTGGGACCACCAAAATTTATTAATTTATCGTGTTTATTAATTTATCGAGTATTAATTTATAGAGGTTCTACTGTATAATTTTTTTTAAGGAATAGTATTTATAATTAAGTATGTATTTTATAGAAAAAATAGAAACATAAGAGAATAAAATTCTCAAATATGTATTTTATCTTAAAAGTTCCTCTAAAATTTAGCTTTTAAGTGGCAGAAAATGGAAAATTTAAAATAGTTTAGATAAAGTGACAAATCTAAAATGGCAAAATCAATAATAATCCAAAAACAAAATAACATCTAACTCGTTGATTGTTTTGAAGACAACAGCTATGTGGCCAAGAAAAAATGAAGAAAAAACCAAAATCAAAATGTGGGCTACTGACCTACTGTGTATAGGATGCATTCATTTACAGCTACCAAACGCACACGTGAACAAAAGTATTTTTATTTTTGATAAATTTTTTTTTTGTTTCTGATAAACACTATATAAAATTAAAGGTAATCGAAAATAAAATGAATTAATTACGGATTTTGCCCTTTGTTATAATGGCATTTGTGGATTTTGCCATTTTTTGAATAGTTTGTGGATTTTGCCATTTTTCAATCTCCAAAAATATGATTTAACATGCGTTTCACTCGTTATGTTTGAGTTTAGTCGGTTCCATTTGTTCTTAGAGTTTAGTATTTGGTATAAAGTACGTATTTTTGCAAAAAAAAATCATAAATACGTACATTTTTAAGTGTTAAAAAAGGGCAAAATCCGTAAACTATTTAAAAAATAGTATTTTTGTAAGTTTTTCCAAAAAAAAATGGCATTTTAGACAATAATCCCAAATAAAATTCTACATTAAAGTCTTTTCGATGCTGTATTTGAAGGTTCCTATTTATATTATTAAAATGTGTTGTTTCTAAAGTATATATATCCTTTTCTTCACTCTACAATTTTTTTGTTTGCTAACAATTTTACCTTCACTGTTTACTATACAAAAAACCTCTGTATTAGTGAATAATATATGCAATAGAACAGATTGTGACAACAATTTGTGATGGAAGTTAATTAAGACAATTTTGCAGCGGTATTTAAAGCCGCAAACAACACAAAATTGATATAGATTTTATGGTCCCTAAAGAACTTCAAAATTTGTTTTAAGTTTTTCGCAATAAAAATAGAATAAAAAATTAGCTAGGAACTATATACTCTGGTCACAAAAACCATAGGAAATGTAGCTTTTGAAAAAATTCACCATAAATTGGTTCTGATCTTTTTATATCGACATAAATTTGGTGAAAGTCCAAATAACATAATCAAACAAGTGGTTCCTTCAACAGATTAACAAACGAGGCAAAATAAAAGTGAATGAACAAAGCAGACAAAGATTTTTCCAAACTTCATTTAAGAGACTAGATCGACTTTAGTCCTTTTCTTTAGAGAGTTGCAGTTTTTATTTATTGGTAGGGTTACACAAATTGTTCTTATGTGAGTCCAATTGCCAAATTGTACATCACTCGAAGACAAATTGGGCCCAAACTGTGTAGAATGGGTTTGGGCTGACAACCCATAGTAAACCTTGGTTGAAAATGAAATCAGTTTGCTTTAAGAATTCAAAATTGGCCTAACAAGTTTCACATCTCTAGAATGCTTGCTATTCCACGCACGTGTCACACTATAATTCGTGTTTTCGTGAATGAAGAAATTATTACACCACTTTTGTTATTTTTGTAACTATCTAATCTAACACGTGAAGGAATTTAGGAAACGAGAGATTCTAGAGAAGTAATCATAGTTTTGTATTTTTTTAAAGTGCTTAAAATCAGAAAAAGATCGAGTTTTCCGGAAAAAAGAAAAATAAACAAATTGGTTTACCTGGTAGTCAGAAGGCATTCCAAACTCGGGATTGTGGGAAGTCCTCCCTCCTGTTGTTATCAACATTATTGTAGGAAGTCTGTCAGTTGGACTTTGGTCCAATTGGTTTACCTGGTAGTCAGAAATGCAGGCGGTCTAACTATCCTTGGCACTCAGTCGGAAGGTATTCCAAACTCGGGATAGGCAGAGTGGTAGCCCGAAGGACCTAGCCGTTAACACGGTGGACCAGTCCACTATGTACTATGTAGCACCTCGGTGCGTTCCTACCGGGACCGACTGGGTAGCTGATAGTGTTTATCAAAAAAAAAAAAACAAAGATAAAGTCGTAAATAGAAACTTGGGCATGAAGCTAAGGATATGACTGGTCGCCTAGAATTTATAACCACACAGTATTATTACAAAAGTATACAAACCGAAACTTCTGGCAGTGATGATGAAACCTCAACGCAATGTTATCGTCACATCAATTTAATACCTCATTATAATATGAATGAAAAGGCAGATTAAACAGAAAAATACTTATTTTTATTTTAAAAAATAAGAAAATATTAATACTCACCTATGTTTTTCTTACACTTTTCACCCTATAGCTTTTTTGGACAAAAGAAAAATTTTATTATATTATTTTAGGACTTGACTTTCTGTTAAAAATTTAACAAATTCTCATCATTTTTATTAAATTTATTATTTTTACCGAACTAACTCCGTAATTAATTCATTTCATACACATTATTTGACCATATGTCGACTGTCAGAATCTAGAATACTATTTGTCAAATGAAAGTAATTACATTATGAGATAACGATAGAAATATCCACATCCCTCCTGATCACCAGTCAACATATCTTTTATTAACGAATTGACTGATAATTTAAGACGCTAATCCCTTGCTCTATAGATCATTTAAAATTCCAACCAAAAAAAAAAAAGATCATTTAAATTAATAATTTAACATATTCTAGTACTAATTATTAATATGACATCTACCGAAAGCTTTTTTCTTTTTAATATTTTGTCAAAAGAAGACACACAAAAAAAGTAAATTATATTAGAAAAAATCCAAGACAATATAGAAAGAAAAAAAAAAAAGTAAACGCGTAGACAGATGGCGACAGGAGAAAGAGAGAGTGGAGAAGAAGAAAAGAATTGCGATCAAAGAAAATTAGACATCTTTCTTCCAACGTTTTCACATTACAAAACACAAACCAAAAGATAAAGAAAACAAGAAATATTTTTTCTTCGATCTGAAAAAGTGAAAGCTTCTTCTAAAATCACAAAACAAAATCTTTTGCTTTAAAGATCGTTTGGTGATTTTGTTTTTTGTTTTTTTTTTACTAGTTCTTCTTGATTCTTTCATATGGATGGACATCAGCATCATCACCTTCACCAGCTTCAATATCTCAACAAGCATCATCTTCATCATCCTCAATCGCAAACGCCGGAAATAGCGTCTCCGGTAGCGGTTGGGGATAGGTTTCCACAGTGGAGCGTTGAAGAGACAAAAGAGTTGATAGGGATAAGAGGAGAGCTAGATCAGACTTTCATGGAGACAAAACGGAACAAGCTTCTTTGGGAAGTTATCTCTAACAAGATGAGAGACAAAAGCTTTCCTCGTAGCCCTGAACAGTGCAAATGCAAGTGGAAGAACCTCGTCACTCGTTTTAAGGTCTCTTCTCTCTCCCTCTTCTTACATTTTGTGGATGTGTTATAATCTTGGAGGTCTTGCATGGAACAAATAAATCATTTTTTTTTGTAACCAATAAATATTGAATCTTATATAGTCCATAATCTTTCAGGGACAAAGACAATCTTGTTGTCCATAATATTCTGAGTAGTTTAGTTTTATATGCATATATAGTCTCATTGGTAATGTATTGGTTGATGTTTCTAGGGATGTGAGACAATGGAGGCAGAGACAGCGAGACAACAGTTCCCTTTTTATGATGATATGCAAATTATATTTACCACTAGAATGCAGAGAATGCTATGGGCTGAATCCGAGGGAGGAGGAGGGGGAACAAGCGGGACAGCGAGAAAGAGAGAGTATTCTTCAGAAGAGGATCAAGAAGAGAATGTGAATGAAGAGCTACTAGATGTTAGCAACGACCCGAAAATCCTAAACCCGAAAAAGAACATTGCAAAGAAGCGAAAAGGCGGTAGTAATAGTAGTAGTATCAATATTGGTGTAAGAGAAGTGTTGGAAGAGTTTATGAGACATCAAGTGAGAATGGAGAGCGAGTGGAGAGAAGTATGGGAAGCGAGGGAGAAGGAAAGAGCAGAGAAAGAAGAAGAATGGAGAAGGAAGATGGAGGAGCTTGAGAAGGAGAGGTTGGCAATGGAGCGGATGTGGCGGGATAGAGAGGAGCAACGGCGGTCGAGGGAGGAGATGAGAGCAGAGAAGAGGGATTCACTTATCAATGCATTGCTTGCTAAGCTTACTAGAGATGGTTCCCTCTAATCTTTTATCAGATTTTCTTAACCTAAATTAAATTGTTCTTATATGCTTGTTTGGGGTGTAGTGTAGGTACAATTATTTGGTGGGGGAAGAGAATATCTATGGCAAAGCTCAACACTCATATATTGATTGATATGATGGCATATTTGAGTTTGAGTGAGGCTTTAGTTATATATCAACCCCACATTATTCTTCCTGGTTTATATTTTGGTGAGCCAAATTCTTATAGCATATCATTTAATCTTAGTAGTATAATGGTTTTAATTAGTAATTCGTAGGACGATATTGCATGTGTAGTATTTTAGACTAATTTGAATTTTGTTAGAGATAACCTACAAATCCATAGTGTTGGCGAATGTAATATCGGTCCCAAAAATTATCTTCATGCAGAAGAGAACGAAGATTAGTTTGTTCGTTTGGTTGCCGCAAGTAGTTGCGGTAGCGGCAGACGCAGGTGAAGTTGTTCGTTTGGTCGCCGCATATACGTGCGGCATAACGCTGCGGCATGCAAAGGCCTCTTTCTGCGGCTAAAAAATTTGGACGCTAATTAAAGTCAGCGTCAAACGATTAAAAGCTGCCGCTGCCGCTGCCGCAGTTTCTGCGGCGACAAAACGAACAACAACCTGTCGTAATGTTTGCCGCCGCCGCTACCGCCTACGACGAAACGAACAGACTCGATACTAAGATTTTTATGGACTAACTTTGATGAAAATGTAGAGATCAAGAGAGCAAAACACAAATTAGTATCAAACATGCTAGATCAAAGAATGAAAAGTTATCCTATGAATTATGGGACCATTTAGGTCCATTGCCTGTGATCTGAACTTTTATTATTTTAACATATTTTTTTCTTTTCTTTTACGATGTTTGAGAATAATAGTATCTAACAAGGCAAGACAATACGGCATTGCGTCTGGCGTTTCTTATCCACATAAATTTGTTTACATATATATATATATTTTTTTTGTTTTTGTATTAGGACCGAAATTGTATTTTGTTTTGTAAATTTATATTTATATATTAAGGAGATCCTTACTGAATAAACACATCACGTGTTATTCTAGCAAATACTTAAATCAGTTTTATTTTGTAGATCGTCTCTCAATTGGAAAGAGTATAGTGGGTGATTGGTTCGTCTGTACCTGTACATTTATTGATGTAAAATTTCTGCTGTAGGTGTGATGACTATAGCTGTAAGTTTATTACAGTAGAAATTAGGCTGTAAGTTTTATTAATATAATATTATTATTTAAATAAATTAGTTGTAGAAATAAGATTTTGGTTGTATGTATTTTTAAACAAAAAATATGATTGGTAAATAGTACGTGTTATATAATATTGTTCACAAATATAAATTTAATAAATTATGATATACATATACATTATAAAAACAATGTGAGTTATATATATTTTTTGCCCAAAAAAAGAGTTATATATATGTCATAAAGTATATGTTTACCTACTATTTATAACCATAAAAATAAATTTTTATAATATATTTATGGATGAAAACTATAATAATGTTTTTAAAGAAAAGAAGAAAATAAAATGGAAAGAAGAAAAAAAAGATACAACCCTTCTAAAAACCAAAAAGTTGTGCTTTAGAAAAACTTGTACTTACAGCCAAAATAATTAAAAAAATATTGTTTGGGCTGTGAGAAAAAATAGGAAAGCTACATCAAGATTGTTTCAATTTTGGAGCTGTAGCTTTTTTAGTAAATTTATAAATTTCCTATAACCCAATCAATCATGCCCATATATGTCTTACCATCTTAAGGCCGGTTTTTTTTGGTAGAAAGTTTAAGGCTTTATATTTATAGTCTTTCATAAGATTTTTGAATCTAAAATTATAAATTTAGTATTTGACTCTTTCAGTCATTTAATATATATAAAAAAGAGAGTATAATTCGAAATTGATGACTCAAAACAAATTCAAGATATTTAATTTTCTAAAAATGCATGGAACAAAAGAAGTGGCAAACATAGTTATCTTTATCCCACGTTTGGATTAAAGTTTTCAAAATTTTTTGTATTCAATATCAAATGGTAAACTTCAGCGGACTGATATTTTAAAGGGTATACAAAGGTTAACGCGCTTAACTTGAAGCAATATTGAATCGAAGAATCATGGATCCTCTTCTGAAATGGACAATAAGTAATGGAAGAAAGCAGTATTCTAAATCTAAGCAATGTAAAATGTGTACGATAAAATTTTTTTTTGTTTTACAAATTAAAAATTTTAGATTCGTAACCAAGTTCTTATGTACAGTAGAAATTTAAGACTTTTTGATTCTTTTCTCGGTTGGTAATAGCATCTCCAGTCGTTGAGAGACTCAAATACGTTTCTTACAGATTTATATTGTTATTTTGGGAGACTCACAAAAATGCTCATTTTCTCATGACCTTTTTCAAAAATACTCTCTCCCTAATAGCTTTCCTGAAACTGACCATTTTACCTTTAATGAGAATTTAACCTAAATAAAAAACCCTAGCTCCCATCACCCAGATTGCCGCCGACTACGCCGCCGCCGACGAGATCTATTTTCATCTTCTCACAGGAGGAGATCCAGCGATTGAGAGAGAATCTACGCCTTTGATTTATCCAAAACTCGATTTCGTTGCTAGATTTGTCATGTTTATGTATTTCAACATTTTTCTTCTGTCAATATGATGAAATCTCTCAGATTTGGATTCTCAATTTTCTGTAATCACACAAAAATCCTCTTTAATCTCTTATTCTTCGGCTTAAGTTTGATTTCACGGTTTCAATTTCGATTTCAAAAACGATTGTTGTTTTTTGTTCCTTTAAAATACTTTGTAAATCCTTTTAAAACCTTTAAAATACCTTGTAAAACCTTTTTAAACATTTAAAATAACCTTTAAAATACATTGTAAAACCTTTTAGAACTTTTAAAATACATTGTAAAACCTTTTAAAAACCTTTAAAATACCTTGTAAAACCTTTTTAAACATTTAAAATAACCTTTAAAATACATTGTAAAACCTTTTAGAACTTTTAAAATACATTGTAAAACCTTTTAAAACCTTTAAAATACCTTGTAAAATTTTTACAATACCTTGTAAACTCTTTTAAATACATTGTAAAACCTTTTTAAAAGCATGTACAACCTTTAAAATACGTTGTAACATCCATAAGTGGAATAAATTAAAGATGATATACAGATTTCGCTTGAAAAAAGCTTCTAAAAGACAGAGATCGGTTACCTGGAATTGACAGAGACGAACACAGAGGGAGAGTGATATAGATCTCGCTTGAAAAATCGAACCCAACAGATCTGGATTGAAACGCTTGAAAAATCGAACCCAACAGATCTGGATTGAAACGCTTGAAAATCGTTCGAATTTGAAAATCGTTCGAATTTTACATCTAGTGGGATTCGAATTAGGAATCAACAACGGTGTCGCCGGCTCCTCCGCCATTTTCAACAGATTACGGGTTCGATGGAGCAGACGACGACAAGAGAAGATGGGATTTTAGGGTTTTGGCCTGCAACATGTATCTCATTAAACAAGGGTATTTTAATCAGTTTAGATATTTTTGAGAGGCATTTTTAAAAATGACCAACTGAAAGGAACATCATTAAAAAAGGGCATTATTAACAATTTTTCTATTTTAAAATCATTAGATAATTTAATTAAAATTTATTTAATAAAGAAACTGAACAATTCATGAGAAGACACTTGCCTTTAAAAATTTCTCAAATGAGAACAGTTTATTGTGTTTTAATGTTAAAATGCCCTTTTAGAGATCCGTGCAATGAAAAAACGCTTCTCTCTCTTCCCACTATAGATTTTTCAGAGAGAGAAAGCGGTGAGTAAAATTATGGCTTACCATTTTATGGAGATACTCTAAAAAACAATAGATTAATTGGTTTTAATGTTAAAATATTTTTTTGGAGGATTTGGAGGAAATACTTTTACTATAGATTAATTGGTTATAATGAAAATATTTTTTTAGATCTCTGCAATGGAGATACTCTAAAAGCAATAGATTATGTAAAATTATTGTTTTTTTTTTTTTTGAAATTACTTTCTCATTCACACATGCTTAAGCTTTTTTTTAATATGTTAAATACTTCTAGTTCACAAGATGAAATTAGTTTAGTCAAATTTTATTTCTGTTGCAAATTTAATATAGTTTCAGTTGATACATATTAATTCATCTATCATCAAATATCACAGTTTCCACCTGGTCCCCCAAAAGAGAAAGCTACTCCATTTGGCTTGGAATAACCCCAGTATGATAATCTATAACACTGATAAGAATCTGCATATTGCCTTGCTCTCCTATCTTCAATATCAACTAGTTGATAATTTGAATTCTTCACTTTAACATGAATATAATATGAACTTTTATGAAAGTCAAAAACCGGAAAATGTCCATTTCCCATTGGAGGACTAATTCCATTTGGAGATGTAAAAGTATTTCCTCCAAATCGCACCAAAGAAGCTCCTTTATTTAAGTGTGTGAATAGTTCTTTGGGCCAATAACCAATTATTTCATCAAAGATTTTTAGTGCCCAATTTCCGCTGAAACCATCCTAATAAAGTATAAAACACAAAAAAATAATTACAAAGATATTTAAATTTTATGCGCATATATGTTATTTTAACAAAAAAAATTGACACACTATATTGAATAATGAAAAATTATAATGAGGGTGAACCCGATTATTTCAGAAGCCTAAACAAAGAACTTGAATTTGTGGCATTTATTAAAATAATTAATAACTACAATTCCTATCATTGTTGGCAAATAATTATTTCTCTTATAAAATGTGAAGAAAATTTACCTGTAAAACTTGTGGTATGATAACAAATGTTTCTTTACCACCATAAATAGAGGATTTATTAATAAAGCTTCCAATAACAGGAAATGGATTTATAATAACAAAACCAGGACACTTTGTATTATAACACCCCGTTTTCTTATATCCATCTGCCTGATAAATTCAAAAGAGGCAAAATATTTTGAGACACAAAGATACAAAAAGGCAACAAATGGTTTATTTTTATAAACATACAAAGATATGGTTTATTTTTATAAAGATACAAAGATATAAAGACTATTTTTTATAATCACAAAGTTTTATTGGTTTGTCATGTATAAAGAAACATAATTATTCGCAAAAAAAAAAACACATAACTAAGTCACTTACAGTCCAATATATTGTAAATCGCGTCAAAGTATCCCCGTATAATCTTGGATGCACCTATAAGAAAATATAAAATACATGATGAAATATGTGTACTATCTAAAATTTTAAAATATTAATATTTTTGTTTACAATATTAAAATAAATTAAAATATTAATCAAAATTTAAGTGGTAATTTTTTTGTTTAGAAAGAAAATATTAACCATTTTGTAATTTTCGTCGAATATGTATGCATAATTATAATTTTTTATGTTTACTTATATTTTTCTTTTTACGTATATATATTACGTATTTTAGTTCCATGTGTAAAATCACATGACTATGTATGAACTATACATACTTTGTTTTATAATTAATAATAACTTACCGCCCAACCAATTTGTATGCTATTGAGTTCACCACGAGGTCCATTCTCTAACCAAATTTGACTTTTGCTGTATTGGTTATTTTGTACTGTTACATTATGAACACTTATCATAGCTTCTGCTCCCCGATAGATGCTTCCATCCAAAACGGTCTCGATTGTTGCAAACTGTACATCAAAGGTATATAAATATAGGCTCGTTCACAAAATATACGTGTATTATAATTGACTTGATTTATAGATAGAATTAATGATAAATATATATACAACTTAAAAAAGCAACAACATGACTATATAAGTAAGCCTGGGCCGGATCCGGATATCCGGCATTTTTAGGGTTTCCGGATCCGCCTTTTCATTATCCGGATCCGGATCTGTTTCATCTGGATATCCGAATTTCGGATATCCGTAAAAATAGCCGTGTATCCGGATCCGGGTTTTTTTAATATAACTTTTTTATTAATATAATATTTGAAGAAAAATATTTAAAAACAAATAATTTAATATAAATAATTAAAAATATTATTAAATAATATTATTCCTATATAAAATAATAAAATTTATTAATAAAATTTAAATAATAGTAATAAAATATTAAAAAATATTATTATAATATAAAATATCCCGGATCCGGATATCTAGCTTTTAATTTTCTATTATCCGGAACCGGTTGGATCCGCTTTTTCATTATCCGGATCTGGATCCGCCCCACCCAGATATCCAGTTTTTCGGAGCGGATCGGAGCGGATCCCAGATCCCGGATAATTGGTCTCAGGGCTATATATAAGTATATATCTATTTACTTTTCGTGTGTTGCAAATCATAATTATATGCGATTAAATAAATTTCTGATAAAAATATATATATATAAAAAAAGAATTACATGTTGGCCGGGATAGTCGACTGTGTTGAGATGAACGCTTTCAGTTCCATTTCTTTGTTTTAAAATTGGCACTGTTCCTTTTGGACAACTTAGATCATTTTTTTGATATTTAATTTTTACATTGTGGCTTTCGTTGAAACTGAAATTTTCCTGTAACAGCACAAAATAACAGGATTAAGAAAATATAAGAGAATTTCAAAATTATGCTACATTTATTATAATGATATTTGATTATATCTAAGTATCCACTATAACTATTGTACCTGAATCTTGTGGTTTTTCAACAATGGATGTTGGAAAGCGGGTTGTTTGTATATATCAACACAATCAAATTTCTGTAAAATTGAATACAAAAATAATTCTTTTTGAGAAATTTAAATGATAAAATCTTAAGGAATGTAAAATTACAAGGTAGAAGTTATAGAAGCTCACATCAACGTTTCCTTCGACCATTTGCGTAAAAAGCAAATAAGAAGATAGAACAAGCACTAGATTTAAACCCATTGTTAAACTTTACTTATATTTCTCCATTGATATTTTGATCGCTATATATATAGAATTTGAGTCAACAGACATTTAACATGTTACAAAAAAAATTATACTTGAGTCAACAACAACTAATTAGTTTTATACCATTTTTAAGTTTTCTTTTAACAGAATACAGAAATACAATATAGCACACATAAAAATAAAATCTATGAAAAGAATACACTTTGACTAAAAAAGACACGAGGAGGCCAACGTGTCGCCACGAGTTAACTTCGATCTGTGACGTCACCTAGATACCTCTAATAAACTTAACAAAAGTATCAATCACAAAGTTGAACTAAAAACTTGAAAGTCTTGTAGTCTTTTATACATATAAAATTACTGTTATTTTTCATATAACTATTTAATACAGTTGACTAAAACATAACATTTTAATTCAATTGACAAAAGTTATAAGAGGAAAAGAAACTTGTTCATATAAACGTGAAAGTAAATTTGTCAACAAAAAATTTAGAAAATTTTGGTCCGTAAAATAAAATGCAATGGTTTAAAACACCTAATTGGTCCATGAAATGTAAAATGAGACTTGTCCAGAAAAACTAGAGTTGGTCAATGACATTACCTAAACTTTTGAACCCGTAAACACCAAAACTCTAATATTAAAAATTGTTTTTTGAGCCCATTAATAAGCAAAAAATTTTAGCCCATTTAATAACTTAAAGTGCATCAAGGGATGCTCTTATGTAGCAACAGATTTTTCCTGATTGGCTAAAAGACCTTTTTGAATGTGAGAGAAGCTATGCCTCTGTTTCGGATCTTCATCCATAATTCTTTTTAGACTTTGGTGTAGATAACTTGTGTCTTTGCTAACACCCGTTATTTATAGAATGACTAGATGACAAAAAAACAAAACTGTAAGAAAAGTCAAAATTATAGTATTGATTACGATCGAAGATGGCACCTCCATCTGGTGCATACTACAAAATTCGCCGTGCATCACTACAAAGTACAAACTCTCGAATTGATATCCCCACTTTTTAAATATATTTTAATATTGCCCTTCCATCTTTTATATTATAAAACACGTTATTTGACCAATCAAAATTTGATACATAGATTTTTTTCATAATTTAAATTATTTAAAATTCTAAAATAAAATTGAGATCGTGGAAAAACAAAAAACAAAAAGACAAAACTTATTATAACTACCGAACAAAAACATGTCCAAAGCTCTTTCTCTTTATACATTTTTTTTTTTTTTCACAATAGATATTACATGGGTAAAACCCCAGATTTTTTTTTTTTTTTTTTTTAATTTCCATTAAAATAATTAAAACATACAAGGCAAAGAGCCCAAACTGGAGCACGCAGGCCCGAAAATTAAAAAGTACAAGGCTAAAAGCCCACAAAAAGGCACGCAGGCCCAAGAAAAAAACACAAGACAGAGGAAGAAAGCCAGAATAAAGGTCTCCCGAAGCAAAAGAGAGCAAACCTAGCTTTAGTCTTGGAACAGCGCGAACCAAGTGACGAGGAGAGAGGAGCCCAAAGGTCACGATAAACCCCAGAATTTAATAAATACAATTTTCTAAATACTAATAACTAGAATAAAATTGCCCTACAGACAGGACAAGTGTTGTTCCATTGACTTAAACAGTGGAAGTGGAACGCGTGTCCACAAACTGTGTTAGCCAATGGAACATTCGACTCAAATTTACCTAGACATATACTACATTTACGTTCTGGATACCTAAATACAAATTGCTCCATTGGAACGGCCATAAGACCGGGAGCAATATCTTGTTGTTCATCGCTACAAAAATATATTTTAAAAAACAAAAAAAGAAATCCTACAACAACTAAGGCGACAAAGACACAGAAAAACGGCAGTAATGCTGCAATGAAGTTTTGATAGAATATTGAAGCACGGACTGCATTCAACATGATCAAAAGAGAGAAAAGAAAAATCAGAGAAAGAGAAAAAAAGATCGGAAGAAAGAGACTGTGTTTAGCGACTGTGTTTAATTAGGACGGCTAGATTTAAAAAGCAGCGACAAATAAAAACTAAAAAGAAGCGACGGTATAAATGGTGAAGGATAAGGACCTTATCATAAGGTGTCACCGTTGATCGCCAGGTGAACAAGCACTCCACCTCCGACTGTTTTTGATGCACAACTCCCAAGTAAAGGTGTGAGGTGGAGTTAAGAAGAAGAGGATCGGAAGAATTACAGAAAATTTTTGATCATTAGGTGGAGTTAAGAAGAAGAGGATCGGAAGAATTACAGAAAATTTTTGATCATTGATCATTAGGTGAGGAGGAATTACAAATTTCTCCATTAGTAGTAAATTACCTCAAAAAGAAGGTTAGCAAAGAAACGAAATTTTTTGCTAATAAGTAAATTTAGATTTTTTTGCTAATAAGCAAAGAAGGTTATGATTTTAGATTTTTCATACGTAGTCTAGTATAATACAAAAACCGTATAGTGTAGTATAGTAGTGTATAATACAAAAACCGTATAGTGTAGTATATGTGTATAATACAAAACCGTATAGTGTAGTATATTAGTGTATAATACAAAACCGTATAGTGTGGTATAGTATAGTATATAAGTGTATAATACAAGTATAGTATAGTATATAAGTGTATAATACAATAACCGTATACATAGTATAATACAAAAACCGTATACATAGTATAATACAAAAACCGTATAGTTAAAAATAAATCGGGAAATTACCTCTAGATCTTGGGATCGGAAGTTGAAGGCTCGAGGACTCATCGTCTTTGTACAAAGAGAAAGATACGGTGAAGCTAAGGGGATATTCTCAAGTGTCGGCTCCTTTTTATCATCGCTACATCGTAACAGCTTCAGATCAGTAGACTTCAATCCTCTCTCCAATCATCGGTATGCGTGAAAGATAACCCAACCTCTCCTCAAACTCTGATTCTCGCTCGCTGGTGAACTAATCTAGCCATCGGAACAGCTTTAGATCAGTCGGCTCCTTTTTATCATCGTAACAGCTTCAGATCAGCAGACTTCGATCCTCTCTCCAATCATTGGAACATAGGTGAAAGATAACCTACACCCTCTCCTCCCAACTCTGATTCTGGCCGGTGAACTAATCTAGACATCTCAATTTTTCTGCGGCTAGGTTTCTTCTCGATAGATCTTCTATTTTTCTTTTGTAATTAACTTTCCATTAAAATTAAAATAAAGTGACAAGAGCAGCCCATTATTTCAAAACAAAAGCCCAACGCTGTGTTGAAGTATTAAATAAAACAAACAGCCCATGATAGAAACCACAAGAGGGCCCAAATTCCATGTGGAGAATCGAATGGAAGAGAATTACATAAGAATATCAGCTCTCTTTTTTGTTGGTTATCTTGAGGAAGACACTAAATCACAGATTAAAGTTAAATTACATCTTGATAATTAATGTAAGAAAAAATCTCTAATTTATAAAGGTTGAACACAACTAAAAGAGAAATAAATAAAATAATGATGGATTAAATGTCATATAGGATATAGTCATATAGGTAGCTGATAAAAACAAATTAACGAAGCAGACAAAGATTTTTCCCAAGCCTGATTTAGGGACAAAGTTGTTCTTACGTGACTCAATTGCAAAATTGTACAAAGACGAATTGGCCCAAACTGTGTAGAATGGCTTTGGGCTACCAACCCATGATAAACCTCAATTGAAAATGAAATCAGTTCGGCCTGCTCATGCTTTTTAAAAATTCAAAATTGGCCCAACAACTTTCACATTTCTTTGATTGTTGCAAACTGTACATCAAAGGTATATAAATATAGGCTCGTTCACAAAATTTACGTGTATTATAATCGACTTGATTTATAGATAGAACTAATGATAAATATATATACAACACAAAAAAAGCAACAACATGACTATATAAGTATATATCTATTCACTTTTCGTGTGTTGCAAATCATAATTATATGCTATTAAATAAATTTCTAATAAAAATATATATAAAAAAAGAATTACATGTTGGCCGGGATAGTCGACTGTGTTGAGATGAATGCTTTCAGTTCCATTTTTTTGTTTTAAAATTGGCACTGTTCCTTTTGGACAACTTAGATCATTTTTTTTATATTTAATTTTTACATTGTGACTTTCGTTGAAACTGATATTTGATCTTAGTATCCATTATGAAATTCTCTTATTTTTACATAAGAGAATTTCAAAATTATGCTACATTTATTATAATGATATTTGATCTTAGTATCCATTATAACCACTGTACCTGAATCTTGTGGTTTTTCAACAATAGATGTTGGAAAGCGGGTTGTTTGTATATATCAATACAATCAAATTCCTGTAAAATTGACTACAAAAATAATTCTTTTTGGGAAATTTAAATGATAAAATCTTATGGAATGTAAAATTACAAAGTAGAAGTTATAGAAGCTCACATCAATGTTTCCTTCGAGCATTTGCGTAAAAAGCAAATAAGAAGATAGAACAAGCACTAGATTTAATGTGAACTTGAAGCAATATTGAATCGAAGAATCATGGATCCTCTTCTGAAATGGACAATAAGTAATGGAAGAAAGCAGTATTCTAAATCTAAGCAATGTAAAATGTGTACGATAACATTTTTTTTTGTTTTACAAATTAAAAATTTTAGATTCGTAACCAAGTTCTTATGTACAGTAGAAATTTAAGACTTTTTGATTCTTTTCTCGGTTGGTAAGAGCATCTCCAGTCGTTGAGAGACTCAAATACGTTTCTTACATATGTATATTGTTATTTTAAAATCATTAGGTAATTTAATTAAAATTTATTTAATAAAGAAACTGAACAATTCATGAGAAGACACTTGCCTTTAAAGATTTTTCAAATGAGAGCAGTTTGTTATATCTCTCTCCGACTTTTTATTTATTTATTGTGTTTTGATGTTAAAATGCTTTTTTAGAGATATGTGCAATGGAGATGCTCCATAAACAATAGATTATGTAAAATTGTTGTTTTTTATTTATTTACTTGAAATTATTTTTTCATTCACACATCTTTTAAACTTTTTTTTTGAAGATCTTAAATATTTCTCGTTCATAAGATGAAAATAGTTTAGTCAAATTTTA